TTTTTTTTTTTACGGCTTGGATTGAATTTAATTGTCATTACTGCTCTGTTTTAGTTTCTGAATATATGTTGGCTTCGTGTTTGCAGACTATTTTGATGTTGTGGGAAAAGAGAATTTTCTGAAGGAAAAAGGTTACTGCAGAAGAGGAGAAGTCGATGGATTTCGCCAGAGCTAAGATTAAGAGCGCATATTGTCATATTATGTCGACCAAACAATTTTGATCTGGATGATACACAAGGTCACACATAGGGATGTAATCAAATCAATTTTTTTTATTCGATTCGAGATTCGAATTCGGTATTCGAGATTCGGATTCGAAATATTCAAATTCGAATTCGAATACGAATGATATTTTATATTCGAAAAATAAACGAATCGAATTCGAATTTGTGTATATTCGATTCGAAAATATTATCGAATATTCGATTCGTTAAAGATAATTATATAAATTTTATAAATTATATATAATATAAAATTTGTTTCTATATTTATATATGACATAAAAAATAAAATACAAATACACAATTTGCTAAACACTATCCTAACTCCTAGTCATAATTCCCGTCTTCACTCTTCAGTGTCTTCAGTCTTCACTCTTCATTCTTCACTACAGCCGCCGCAATCACAGACAATTTCACAGTCCACCGCCGATTCTTGTCCAGTTGTCCGCGCTTCTCAGGTCACCGCATCCTGCCTGTTCTCGTCGGGGTTCCTCGGTTCACCGCCGCACGCCTGTCCTCGTCGGCGCTCCTCAGTCCAGCTCCTCGTCCGTGTTCCTCGTCTCATCTGTATCTGGTACTTGTAAATCGGAGCTCACCCAAGGTAGCTTGGAAACTCAAATATAACCGGCTCTTAACCCTTCTTCCCCTTTCGATTTTCATGCTCCTATATTCTATTTATTTTTTCTTTTCTTTTTATTTTTCATATATTTAGTTTGTCTATTCCCATCCTTTGGGTGCTTTCTCTAGTGATTGTTGCGTGAAAGATTGGGACTTTTTGCTTAAAGTTTGCTCTTTTTGGTTTCCAAATTCCTTTTGTGAATTTGTAGTTTTTTTTGAGTTTTAATTCTAATACTCTTTAACGTGCGTGCTAATTGATACCAGTTTTTGAGTTAATGAATTGCACTTCTGATTTGTGTTCTTGTTTTTCTGGGGTCGTCCCAAAGGTGTCACACCAAAATACAGTCTTGCACCTCTTGTTCCCGGGCTCTCTGAACTGCTCGGTATTCAGGTATCAGTTCACAGGAAAATATTTTTTTTTCAGTTAAATGGAAAGGGGGAAAGGAAGCCTGAGAAGGAGATAGATTTCATTGAATATGTTAGTTATGTTCTGTGTTGTGCTAATTAAGGGTTGGATCTTGTTGCTAAGCCTGAGAAGGACTGAAGGAGATAGCTATGTTAGTTACTTTTTTTTAATACATTTCATAGGGGTGGGCAAAAAAACCGAATTTTTGGGTACCGAACCGGACCGAAATGGTCCCGTTCCGAAAAGTAGGGTTCCAAACGGTTTTTAAAGAAAAGAAGAGAAAAGTCGAGAGAAGAGAAGAAAACCACGCCAACGCCGGACACCATCAATTCCCACTCTTCACATGCCATCCACTGTCGGTGCCCCAATAGCAACTGGCATTGTTCGGCCCGCCTTGTTGACAATAGGTCTATCTCGATTCCTAACTCCACCGCCGGAAAACAGTAATTCAATCAGTGCTTAATAGAATTCATCTTCTTAAATGGTCTCCCGTCTGCACTCCAACCTTTAGAGTTTTTATTTGAATAGCATCTGCACACTAGCCCCCACCTTCTTAATAGGGTTTGCAGTATTTTGTTGAATTTCACCTTTTTTTTTTTTATTTATTTTATGCCTTGCTTGGGACCCTTTTTTTGTGCACTAAATTTTACAGGCAACATCAAGTCAGTGCTTTACTTGCCAAAGAAAAGATGCACCTTTATTTGAATGTGTGTGTGTGTGTGCAACTGAGTTCTTGTCTTTTTTAATATCTGTGATACATACATGTTAAGTTTTCAGAATGCAGCTCAATGCTATACAGTAAGGTTGCAAATGGAGGGGGGGTGAGGGGTGTCACATCTGAAATATTTGATGTTCTATTTTTGTTTGGAAAGATAGGTTACTATCAATATGTGAGGCATTAGTCCACATTCAAAGTGGTGCCACCCTGCCTATGTGTTTAGCATCGAACTGTTTGTAGATTTGACTTACCTCATTTTCATTACTTTGATTAAATTCATCTCTTTTTACATCACTGATCAGTGATCAATTTGCCTTGAATCCTTGGTTGTGGTCAGATCCTTGTAATGGGCACCTATAGGTTTCATGACTCCATGTCTCGTCCTGGAAGCACTTATCGCACAACCGATGAGATTAGTGGATTTAGGCAGGTGGTTGGATATATACTCTCATGATAATGAGTAACTACTTCAATGCGTTTCCCTTATGTTCCCAATTCTCTTTTTCTACAGAAGAGTGATCCTATTGAGAGAATCAAGAAAGCTGGCATTACCTCATGATTTAGGCACTGAAAAAGAACTAAAGGTAATATCGTAACACATCTCCATGTAACTTATGTATAGGGCAGTGTTGTCAAATAGCGGCCACGGCGCTGTGGCGGGCGGAAAATAGCCCAAGTCTATTAGCAAATAATAATAAGGTAATGTTTGGTTGGCTTGATTGGGCAAGATATAAAAACAGTTGTTAATAAATCCATAGCTTTAGTCTTTGATCTGGGGCAGGCCGGTTTTTCTATCAAGCCAATTTCTTATACCACATCACACCCTCCCTGGTCGGATACACAATATCCGTCCTTTCCTCCCCTCCTCGTCAGCCTCCACGCCTTCGATCCTTCTCTGTCTGGTGGCTCCCTTTCTCCTTCCGTAGATATATGGCGGTTTTTTGGCTTTCTGCCATTGCCCGCCATCCCCCAGTGATAACCCTGGTATAGGGAACGTTCAATTTTTTCTGTAGTTCAGATTTCATCTTGTATTACATTTTGATTGGTATTTGAATTATTGGATTCTTTTGTATAGAATGGTTCTGCATTTGTTTATTTATTTTTTGTTGCAAATTGGATGATGAATTGTGATGATAAGACCTTGTGTTGTTTCTCTTCTGATTCAGGATGCCGGAAAAGAAATAAGAACAGAGGTAAATGGTGCTATTTCGAGAGCTAATGTTAGAACTGTCCAAATTTCATGTCTGGTTGAATTGAATGGAGCATATGCCATCATGCCATGAACTTTGGTCTTTGTCGCACCTTTTAAAATAATATAGCATCTGCCTCTAATGATTGCCACCTTTGTATAATTCTTGAAAAACATTTACAAGATAGAGCCCATATTAGCTTTTAAATAAACTCTGCCAAATGCCTGAGAAGAGTTTTAATGCAAAACTGCTTGCTATTCTTTCAATTCTCTCTGCACACACACACACACACAGACACAACTCTGTGTCCATATAAATTGTTGACCTGTGGGTAATAATATGTATATTTTTTGAGTTATGTTTGAACTGTTTGAAGTTTCACAATATACATGATATTCTGGATACCAACTCTCACGTGGTTGGTAATTTGGTTGTATTATGTGGCATTCATTTGGAGCCGACAGAAGAGTTGAGAAATATGCTTCTGTGAGTCGGGTCATCAAGAACATCTTTTCTTTCATTTAGCATGCATATGTATTTTTAGTTTCTGTTGTGGAATACGACATCATCTTTGTTAACGAATTTCAGTTATTTTCCTCATATGCAGATGGAGATCAATCTGCAGGGGTGGGAATTTTTCAAAGCCTTTATCATCCTCAAGTTTTTACTTGTTACATTCTCATGGTGTGCGATATCTTAGCAACTTGGTAAATTTTGCTGATAAAACAAGTAGACAGATGAACTTTGAGCATTTATTTAATGCTTGCACGACATCTGAGGCTACAAGGCGCGTTCATGCTCTTCTTCTTGTGTCAGGCAAAGCCCTAAGCGTTTTTTATGCTACAAGGCTCGTCAACAAGTATTCATTTATCGATAATGTCTCCTTGGCCCGGGACACTTTTGATCAAATCTCTATTAAGGATTCCTATACATGGAATTCCATGCTCTCAGCTTATGTCCGGAATTCCCATTTTGATGAAGCAATAAAATGTGCATTTGAAATGCTGTCAAGCACTGATGTTCGACCTGATTTCTACACCTTCCCCTCTATCTTGAAAGCTTGTAAATCTTTATGTGATGGGGCACTGTTTCATTGCTGGGTTTTGAAATTGGGGTTTGAGTGTGATGTGTTTGTGGCTGCTTCATTAGTGCATATGTACTGCCGTTTCGGGTTTTCTAGTCGTGCGTATACGATTTTCAGAAATATGCCATTTCGGGACATGGGATGCTGGAACTCCATGATTTCAGGATTTTGTCAAAGTGGCAATCATAAAAAGGCATTGGCCGTTTTTGATGAGATGATACTAAGAGGCATAGCAATTAACGCGGTAACTGTCTCTACTATTCTCGCAATTTGTGCACAAACTAATGATCCATTATGCGGCATGTTGATCCATTTATTCACGATATAGCACGGTTTGGAATCTAACATATTTGTTTCTAATGCCTTGATCAACATGTATGCCAAATTTGGCTACATGGATTGCGCCCGAAATGTTTTCAATCATATGTTTGTTAGGGATTTGGTTACATGGAACTCCATAATCGCAGCATACGAGCAGCATTGTTGTCCACAGGTAGCACTGGCTTTTTTTCACGAGATGAAGTCAAATAAAGTTCAACCTGACTCGTTGACACTGGTGAACCTATCCTCATGCCTTACTCAGACAAGAGATATTTTATGCAGCAAATCAATTCATGGATTTGTTATCAGGAGATGCTGGATCACAAAAGATACCATAATTGGAAATAGCATCGTCGACATGTACGCGAAATTAGGCATTTTGGATTCCGCACGTCGGTTTTTTGAGCAACTGCCTTTTAAAGACGTAATCTCGTGGAACACAATGATCACTGGTTATGCTCAAAGCGGCTTCGCGAGCGAGGCCATTAACTTGTATCGAGCAATGAAAGAAAAAGATAATCTGAAGCCTAACCAAGGAACGTGTGTGTCAGTTTTACCAGCTTATGCTCATTTAGGAGATCTTAGAGATGGAACAAGAATCCATTGTCTGGTGCTTAAACAAAATCTTGACGCGGATATGTATGTGGGCACTTGCCTTATCGATCTATACGGAAAATGCGGTAGACTAAGTGAAGCTATGCTGTTATTTAGTGAGGTGCCAAAAGAAACTTCAGTAACTTGGAATGCCGTAATATCGTGCCACGGGCTTGGTCAAACATCTGTCAGACTTTTTCACGATATGTTGAGTGAGAGAGTGAATCCCGATGAGGTGACTCTCTTATCTTTATTGACAGCTTGTAGCCATTCAGGTCTGGTAGATGAGGGAAAACGGTATTTTCACAGTATGGAGCAAGAATATGGAGTGAAGCCCACTTTAAAGCACTACGGGTGCATGGTTGACTTGTTTGGGCGGGCCGGGCTTTTGGAAGAAGCATACAAGTTTATTGAAACCATGCCTGTGAGGCCCGATTCCTCAATATGGGGCGCTCTTCTTGGTGCCTCTCGAGTTCATGGAAATTTTGAGATGGGCCAAAAGGCATCAGGCCAGTTATTCGAGCTCGACCGGGAAAATGTTGGATATTACGTTTTACTGTCGAATATTTATGCAAACTTTGGGCGGTGGGACGGGGTCGACACGGTAAGGTCATTGGCCCGGGATCGCGGCTTGTGGAAAACGCCCGGGTGGAGTTCGGTCGAATTAAATAACGAACTTGAGGTTTTCTATACCGGCAGCCGGTCTCATCCTCAGAGTGAGGACATATACAAGGAACTAGCTTCGCTAAATTCTAAATTGAAAAGCCTTGGTTATATCCCAGATTATAGTTTTGTGCTTCAAGATGTAGAAGATGACGAGAAAGAGAATATTCTCTCAAGCCACAGCGAGAGGTTGGCTATTGTGTGCGGAATTCTTAATACGCCACCTAAAAGCTCTATAAGGATATACAAAAATTTACGGGTTTGTGGCGACTGCCACAATGTGATGAAACTGATATCTAAAGTTACGGAGAGGGAAATTATCGTGAGGGACTCGAATCGTTTTCATCACTTCAGAGACGGGTTTTGCTCATGTGGTGACTATTGGTGATGTGTGTCACCTCCCTAGAGGTCATTGGAGTTAACTGTACTGCTGCCTTACTGAAAAATATAAACCACCGAATGGTACAGTCGATTTTGGTTTGTACTCAATCGGTTGTGGAGATGCTTTTATTTTTTCAATCTTCAATTTGTAGCTGCCTTTCCAACTTTGGCTATGACGGGGCAGAGGAGAAGCATTTTTATCCAAATGCAGTCGACTCCAACCTCTGCTTCTCTCAAGTTCTACGCCAATTATGGATACAGGGTGTGTTAACTTCCTAATGCACGTTCTGCAACAAGTTCTCCCCTGGCAAAGTCTCTGTGCGCTATTGATGATGCGTGTTCCAGTCCTCATGGGGTTTCTTTCTTTTTTCCCCTCTTTATTTTGTTTTAGGTTCTCCAAATATGCACTTTTGAGCATTTGAGCATTTGAGCATTTGAGGATCAGTTAGGATCAGAGCTAAGGCCATTGATGCACCTTCTGTTGCCTCTGTGTGTGCATTGGGTTGCTGAAGAAATGACTGTTTCAGTTCTGGTCGACGTCACCACTAATGCTCTTTGCCCGGGACAGAACACTTGCCCTCAAGCCATCTACATTAATGGCGTCCAGCAAACTGTGAGTCTTTACATTCAAAATTGTTGATTGTGGAAGTTTGACGTCTTCTGGACCTGAATTTGATCCTTTATCCCTTAGTTTTTCTTGTTGAATTTGGGGAGTTGTTTGTGTAAAACTATTATATGACTATATTTTACTTTTGATGACCACTGATTTTGTCTTTATATATATATATATATATATATATATATATATAATTGGATTTACTTGGATAAAGGACTTGATTTTTTTGGATGTATTTTTAATGCTTCAAGTGTTGATTCATATAGCTTAAAAATTAAGTTTTTTATTGTGGGGGTGCTCACTTCTGGAAAAAATAATTAATTTCCCACTTTTACTTGTATCATAGTTCTTATAAGCATATTCAGTTTTAGGATTGATATTGTGACGTGGATTAGAAGAAGGCAGCCTCCCAACTTGTGTGTTTATGCTTAAATAATTTTTCATCATTTTAAAATTCACTTGAACTACTTGTTTTGGGGATTGTTATAAGCCTCTTATGATTAATTCCTTATTACCTTACTACTTAAAGAGTGATAAACATGTCAAATGCACTTCAATGTAATACCCAAATCCTCTGGGGCTGTTGCATGCGGAACTCTATTGGCGAAGCTCAAAACTATTCTTTATTGTAAATTTGTAATGGTGAAATTGTCTACATAATTTAACCATCACCAAATTTTTTCCCGGGTGCTCACTCTCAAGCTGTTGCCTGCGGTTGTGGTTACAGGTAGTCGGCATATTCAAGATGATAGTTCTTCCACTTTTGGGTCAGTTGGCGGATGAGTACGGACGAAAACCATTGCTTCTTATCACTGTATCCACCACAATTGTTCCTTTCAGTATGTTTCTATAGATGGGATTTATTCTTTGCTCGAACTTTATTATTATGTTTTTAATCTTTTCGTTGGTCGTGTGATATCTTAGAATTGTGTACTAACTGAATGTTTGTCTGATTGTGGAAGTCATTGGGGAGTGAAATATGCTTGTAGTATCATTAGTCTGAAAGTCAGTAATGAAGGTTTGGGATTGAAAGATAAATTGTTTCCAGTTAAGAGAAAATCAGTCTAGTACGATCGTCAGATCTCATATAGAGAAAGATGCTCCTATTTACAGCTTTTCTTGAATTGAACAAGCCAGAGCCAGATGTGATGCTTAGAATAAAGGATTAAGCACACCAAATATCAGTAATTCAACTTGATATATATATAGTTATATACATTAGGTGATTAGACCATGTGTTATCTCACTTACTCATGGTGTTTATTTGTCCCCTCAATTTGTCACTTAAGATAAACTAGTAACGTGAAAGATGATAATGACAAGAATATCATACGCCATCCACTTTAGCTTACTAGTACTGTAATATTTTGTTTTTAATTATTGGATCACAATTTTTTTTTTTTTTTTCCTGAAGTATTGTTTTACTTTCCAGCTTTACTTGCCATTGATCAATCAAAAGGATCTGTGTATGCTTATTATGCTATCCGGACCATTTCCTATATCATAAGCCAAGGGAGCATCTTTTGCATTTCTGTTGCTTATGCTGTAAGTAAATTCAATGTTGTTACTACTGTTCCCGAACTGGGGTATAAGGATTCGGTTTGCAAATTATTTGCCCTCCTTTCAGGCAGATGTTATTGATGACAGTAAAAGGGCTGCTGCCTTTAGTTGGATCACAGGCCTTTTCTCCGCTTCACATGTTGTAGGTAATGCCTTAGCGTGTTTTCTTCCCGAAGGATACATATTTGAGGTATGCTTGTGTTGTCATCTTTTTTCCATATCGTTTTCTGTTCTTGTCTATCTCATTCATATAACTAGTTCTGAATTTCAGGTGTCGATAGCTCTGTTGATCTTTGTTCCTGTTTATATGGCACTTTTTCTGAAAGAAACAGTGGGACCAATTCAAAAACCAGACCAGCACATCTCTTTCTTTAACAAGGCATTGGATATTGTTAAAGGAAGATATTATGCAATGAAGTATCCGGTGCGTGTTGTTACCAGCAGGTATATATATACAGATGCTTTACATTATCCAGGTATTATAATTTTTATGTATTGACCATAGAATTAATATTATAATTATGCAAGCTTAGCTTCTAGTAAAACATTCCTTACCAATATTCTCACCAGCTTAGTTTATAATCTATGTATTTTTTATTTTCTTATTGTTGCCTCAGTTCAACGCTTAAGCGCATTTCTCTTGTTTCCTTCTTCTATGAATTGGGGATGTCTGGCATCAGCAGCGTCCTATTGGTATGTCTCGAACAAGTACATAAAGAATAAATAATATTTATGGCATAATTCATTGAACTTAACAAATGTTTCTTCTTAACAGATTCACTTTTTATTTCATTCTGCAAATACAAACCTTTATGTTATAATAAAAAGCAGTATCCTTTTAATATAAGTGGAGAATATGTTTGGAAATGGATTTGAAACCCCAACCTCCTCTCTAGTAGAGAAGACCTTGTATTCTCTCCTTGCATAAATTGATTCGGGAACATTTGTTAATTGTCTTCTCACAAAAATCTTTAAACCTGAATGTTTGCAACAGCAGTGCTGCAACTATGGTTTTAACGGTAAAAATCTGCTATAAGAGCAACCTAACACTTTGGAGTTTTTGTAAGTGCTGGTCCATTGCATATGGAGCTGGAAGAGTCATTGTTGACAATTCTCCTGGTATAGTGCTAATAATGGACTGGATCAAAATGGCTCAATTAAATTCTAGTGCTTCTTCTATTAGTGAAGTTTCTAGAAAAAAAATATATCAAACGACGCAACGCACCTTGGGTCGCTATGGAAACAGCCCCCTTGTATAATTACAAGGGTAAGGTCTGCGTACAACTGACCCCCCAGACCTCAACCTGTTGGGAATATACTGGGTATGTTACTGGGTATGTTGATGTTGATGATGATGTTATTATAAAATCAGCAGAAGTTTGTGATCTAAGTTGTTGGCATATGTGTAAATCTTCTTTAACTGGCTTATACAACCTTGCAGTATTACTTGAAATCAGTTTTTGGTTTCAACAAAAATCAGTTGTCAGAAATCTTGATGATGGTGGGGTTGGCTCTATTTTTTCTCAGGTATTTGAATATACCATCTCAAGATTTGTTTGGATACTTCATTCCGAACTTTTTCTTATCATCTTTTCTACTGTCTCGAGCCTTTGTAACTCTCCTAATATTTTTATGACATAAAAATTAAAAACATCATAAATTAACAATTTTTTCTAAAAATATATGAAAAATAAAATTTATTTTTGTAATTATAATATTTTTATACAAATTATATATAATATACATTTTGTTTATAATATATGTACATATATATATATTGTTATATTCCTAATATTTTTATGACATAAAAAAATAAAAACATCATAAATTGACAAAAATTTCTAAAAATATATGAAAAATAAAATTTATTTTTGTAATTATAGTATTTTTTAATTATAATATTTTTTTGAAAACGAATTTCGAATCGAATCGAATATGTTCGAATATTCTAAACGAATCGAATACGAATCAAAAAATGAATTCGTTATCAAATCGAATCACGAATCGAATCTTCGAATATTTTAAACGAATCGAATCGAATCTCTGAGTATTCGCTTTGATTCGATTCGTTTACAACCCCTCACATATGCATGCTTTAATGGCCGATGTCTTTGCATCATAAAAGATTCGCAAAAGTCAATAGTCATACTAGTGACTTATTCTAAAAAAAAAAAGTCAATCACCAAAACCCATTTTTTGCCTTAAAATAGTCCAACATAGTTCTTATGTTTCCACACAAGACTTCTTATTATCACAACATTATTGCACAATATCCTTCCACACACACACCACACCGTTGGAAGGATTACAACTCAAGGGAAATGAACAGACCCAAGCCCATATATAGCCAGGGCTTTTATTATACATGCATACATACATATATATAAATATATATTGGATATCAGAAATCAAGCGATCTGTCTCGCAATCTGGTGCCCATTCGGCATAGGCGCCACGTAGACAACAAACCCATCAGTCGGCAGCGGCGCCTGCCCTCCCGTGCTGAAAATCCGGTCGAACAAAAACCCGGCAAGCGCCCCAAATATAAAAGCCCCAACAAAGCCCGTTACAAGCCCAACAGCCGTCACGAAAAGCGTGGTGGCTGCCAGGCCCGTCAATCCGGAGGCCACCGTCACACCCACCAACTTCCCCAACGCGGCTCCTCCAACCTCGGCCGCGAATATCAAAGCCTCCCTAAGAGCCATAGTCAACGAGTGGTCGGCCGAGTAGACTTCCCATACAATCATCCCAATGTCGAGTAGGAACATGGCTGCCGAACCAAGGCTCGGCATTTTCCGAGAGTATAAAACGGCCGAGGCCTTGACCGGCACGTTCAAGTCGAAGGTAGCAGCGGGGGCCGCCTTGCTGGCGGCGGCTGAGTCATCGGACTTCATATCCACGTCATCATCACCGCCCAACAACTTATTACCTGTCGTCGTGGCCAGCTCGTTGTTGTAGGCCGCAAGGACACTCAGCCTGCCCGACCGCTCGAGTATGGAGGCGTACACGTCCAACTTCTGCTCAATTTCAAGGTTCTCGAACGTTCCTGTGTACCCGAGCTGCCTCTGGTGACTGAATATCGATTAACTATTTTATTAGTTTCAAAACATAAGGGTATTTTACTCGAGTATTTAGTATATAACAAATACAGGTGGTAAGGATGAAACCTTGTCAGTAGCCTGATCTAATAGGTTATCCATAATCAGGAAAATTGCAGTCTGGTCCACTAATTTAGAGTTTTTCCCTTTTTTTACCAGCATCCGAAATTAGTCTAATAAATCTTGAATTTTAGTCAATTTGGTCTAATTTCGATTCTAGACGCCGGTATCCAACGGTTATTTGGTCCAATAACGCTTAAATTTTTAGACAATTTGGTCCAAATTGGTCAAACAACTCTAAAATTTACGAATTCTTTTGGTCCAAATTGGTCAAAAAATGGTAACACTCCAAATTAGTTGACTAAAACTGTAATTTTCTCTCCATAATTTTCTCCTAATTTATTCTCGACCACTAGGTGCCGCGCACTCGCTCTTGCATCATGCCCAGAACTCCATTTTTCTTGGTAAAAAAATGCAACATGAACTTACATTAGCATTCATAATTTGCAACATCTCCTACATTCTCACCATAAATATGCCTTTTTTTTTTAAATGATTGTACGGTCAAAATGTACGGAGACTGCAAATTATGAATGTTGATGAAGTTCATGTCAGCATTAAATACTGTACGTTGTTTAAAAAAAACAAGCATATATAGTACAAATTGCAGCCAAGGTTAATTTTTACCATAACAACGAATAAAATGATCGATCGATTGATTGCTTACCCGCTGACGAGGTCTTCGAAGGTGATGGCGATGCTCCTAAGGTACCTCGAGAACTCGGCCGAGGCGTGTGGGTTGAGACTTAGCCTCATGTAACTTATGTTCACGTCGTCTAGCTCCTTCACAGCCTCGGCTAGTTCGTTTACTTGGCTCTGATCGTTTGTGTTGAGGGATTCGAGGGCCTCGAAAACGACCTTGTGATGCTCGATCATCTTGTCGAGATAGTCCCGCCTGAGAGTATAGTTCGGGACGAGCTGGAGGGCGTTGTTGAGGGAATGCTCCACGTAGGTGTGGATGATGTTGGCGACGGACAGCCTGGCGGAGTCCCCTCTGTAGCTGTGGAGCATGGCATTGGCATCGTCTAGGATTGTGTTGACGGAGGCCATGTTGTCGTTGGCTATGCGGAGGTACTGAAGCTGTTCGCCTATGCTGGAGAAGGTGATGTGGTACATGTTGTTCACTTCGTGCCCCCGGATTACTTGAGCCAGCTGCCGGAGCTTCTGGTCTTGGAGGAAAACCGTGTTCGCGATTGGTGACGACATTTTTTTGTGTGTTTATTTATTTATTTATTTATTTTATTTTATAAAGTGGTGTGTGTGATTTATGGCCTGAGAGGCTGTGAGGGAGATGCAGTTATATAGAAGCTCTATGTCTAACAGTCTAAGGAGCTTCTGGTGTGAAGTAAGAGTTTATGTGTCAAGGAAAAATGTAACCATGTTAAGTAAATAATGGTAATGTCACTAAATGGCCATGTAGCTTTTAGAAAGATAAATAGTAGTCATTTTTTTGTGGAGGTATGAAATAAGAGTCTTTTCGTCTTGTGAAATGACACAAGTATCCTTTTGAAAACCCAACTTTAATAGTGACTGTGTCATTTCACATGGCAGAATGACTAATTTTCATGCTTCTACAAAAAGAATGCCTAATTAAAATATATATAGATGGACTCGTTTGTTTGTTAGTTAGTGGATTAGTGCTAAATTAGGTTATGTTTAGTAGCCAAATAAACAAGCTTATAGCATATTTGGTTACCTTATAAGCTTCTTTTATTCAAATAAGTCTCAATGGTAGGACGAGCTTTTTTAAAAAAAACTCGAGCTTATTTCAAAAGTTTCTTTAGGTAGTTTTTCAAATACGCTAGTTGAATTTTTATTTCAGCTAGTTTATCAGCTGATTTTATCAAACACTTTTATCGTATAAATTAATTTTTCAGCTATAAATCATAAGTTAACGATCGGCACAACACTTGTGGGCTAGAGAGTATCCTTTATGAATACGGGCCTAAACTGGTATGAGCCCAATAAAAATGTGGGTCAAATGATTTCAAATGTGGACCAGCCCCGAATACTTATGCATAACAATCGATGATAGCAATTTTTTAAAATTATTTGACTAACTTGTATGTAGCGGAAACGAAAATTTGTCTGTATCTTTTATCCGATGGTTATTAGAGTCGTTGGTATTCTCCACGCTCTGAAACGCGAGCTGTCTTGATGCACTACAAAAAAATGATGAAATTCCAACGGAAATATATTTCAAATAATTATTCCAACGGCAATTCAAACGGATATTTCAATACTATTATTTCCGTTGAAATTTTTCAATGGATTCCAATGGAAATTCCAACAAAAATATTCCGTTGGAATGGGTTTTCCATTGGAATTTTCGTTGGATTTTGACGATTCCAACGGTGGATTTTTTAACGGGGGTGGAAAAAAAAATTCTAACGGAATTTGCATATTCCAACGGAAATTCCTACGGTAAAAGCCGTTGGAATTATAGCCGTTGGAATCATCAAATTCCATCTAAAATTCCAATGGAAAACACATTCCAACGGAATATTTCCGTTGGAATTTTTGTTGGAACTATTCCAACGGAAGCTATTCTATTGGAATATCCGTTGGAATTGCTATTGAAATATATTACCATAGGATTTTCCGTTGGAATATAACATTTATTTTGTAGTGATGGTTTCGGCTTAACAAGAGAAAAACACTATATAAAGATTATGCATATTTCTCTAACTTATTTTCTTGTCTCGTATTGTCTCCTTTCAAGATGCACAAAAGCACCTTATTTATACTAGTCTTCATGGAACTCAAAATAAATGAAGACTTAAATATGTAAACCACTACCTTTAAGTGGATGTTACCAATTGACGCAATATAACATCAACTAAAAGCAATATGAACGATATAAAATTGATTTTGGAAGACAATTTATTAACTTTAAAAGAACGGATTGCAAAATTTCATTTTTTAAATAATTTAATTTTTATTTTGTATTTTTTTTTAAAAAAAGTATTATCTAACAATAACCTAAATTATTAAGTATATATCTAACTCTTGAAATGTAAATTATGCATGCATTTTTAATTTTACGATATACATTTTAAAATAGAGAGGGTCGAGAAAATCTCCTTCAGTGTTCCCCGCTTTCATTATTCATTAGGCACATAGCCCTTTATCTCAATAATATATATACATTTTAAACAATTCGGGAACTTGTTTCTTTTTATTTGATTATTAATTTGTGGGGCAATCAATGAAGAAAATTATTAATGACGTGAGATTTTTGTTGTAATGATTTTGTGTTGTTTTGTGGTCATCTCTTAAAGAAAGCTCGTCGCCATAGCCATAAGTGGATAAGCTGTTGCGAGTGCAAAATCTCCATCTCAATTATTATTCATCTGCAAATTGTGTCCATCAATTTGAACAAATATCAGTATTAGAATATATACTTGTGAGTTGTCTCACATCGTTTATACATGAAATTATGGAAAATAGACCCACCTTATAAGTCTAATGGACTACTTCTCTTTTCACCAATTGGTTTTGAGATAGAACCTCATTAGAGCTTCATATTGGTTTTTTCCCTCTCATGGTGAGTTTTATGTTAGTGGGACTGCACTCGTTTTCCCCCAATTTCATTCATGGCATCAGAGCCGGTTCTATGGGCACCGTCATAGTTTTCCCCCAGTTTCTTTTATGGTGTCAGAGCCGGTTCTATTGGGACCATGTGATGACGTACCATTTTTTCGCCACGTACCCGTTTATGGGAGTCTACTTCTAGTAGGGCTTGGGCACCCAACTCTGTATATGGGTTTGAGCTTTCTTATTAAGGACTCACCAGTGAGAGAGCGTATTAGAATATTCATTTGTGAGTTGTCCTACATCGTTCATACATGAAAAATAGATTCACCTTATTCAAATGGGCTACTCCTCATTCCAACAATTAGTTTTGGGATGGAATCTCATTTGGACTTTTTTTCTCTCATAGTGCGCTTCATGTTAGTGGAATTGCCCCCGTTTTCTCCCGTTTCTTTCAATTAGTACGATTTTTTTTCTATATATATTACTAATTGAGTAATGGTCCAACTTTTATTTCCATTATTTATAGTAAATTGTCTTCACGTTTCAGTCGTTTATGGGTTGGGGTATCTTCCTCTCAATTTTATATTATTATGGGTCCTTGAGAAAAAAAAATAATATGTTTCAGTGAATAAACTCCAGTGAATAACTGAATATGGAATTAAAAAGTTATTATATAGTAACTGTTTTTTCAGTTTCTTTTATGTGAAAATATCTATTTTCACCCCGTTTTGAAGTCTTGATAAGTTTTTCACACCGCCCAATAAAAAGTTAAGTTTTTCACCCCAGAAAGTGCGAATGTTATGCGAAAACTGTCGCATATTCATCGCATAATTGTCCATATGCGAAGGATATGCGAAAAAATTGTCGCATAACTGTCGCATATCAATTGCGTAATTGTGCAAAGGCATTGTGCGATAAATATGCGACAGTTATGCAATTGATATGCGACAGTTATGCGAAAAACTGTCGCATAACTGTCGCATATCGAATGCATTGTGCGATGAATATGCGACAGTTATGCAATTGATATGCGACAGTTATGCGACAGTTTTTCGCATAACCTTCGCATATGGACAGTTATGCGATGAATATGCGACAGTTTTCGCATAACCTTCGCACTTTCTGGGGTGAAAAACTTAGCTTTTTATTAGACGGTATGAAAAATTTAATGTGTCTTTGTTATGGGGTGAAAAAGATTTTTTCCCTTCTTTTATATTATCATAAAATTTATTTTTTATTATTATTATTGGTCTACCAGCTCCAACTAGCTAATTAAATAGTTACAACTCGTAGCTTTTCCAAACAAAAGTGTTAGTATTTTATACAAGTCGGCCTGTAATGAAAAGGTATTGGTATTAAAAACTTTGTATACTCCTCACAAGTAAATTATAAAATAATTTGTTATTTGCACGTTTATTCTGCTTGCCTTTACTACTTTTCATTTCAATTATTTATTACTCAGTATATCAGTCCCGCAAATAATTAGGTGTGCCCTGGCGAGAGTGAACACACGTAAAAAAAAAAGAGAGTGATTTTAAATTGAAATTGTTGTCCAATTTATTCTAGCCCACGCGCAGAGAGAGGACAAGGTAAGTATTGTTTAAATGACATGTGTCTTATTTTTATAGGTTAATGAATTTTATATATCATATTAAATAAATTAAATTATCAACTATATTTTATATTAAAAAATACAAATAAAAATATCAAAATTCATAATTTTTCATTCTCTACAAATAGAGACCACATTTGATAGATTTTGGAATACAATTAATTTATTATTTTTTATAATTAATTTATGTTATTAGAATATGATGACGCAAATCTATAATAAAATGAACATATTACATAGTAAGATGGACATGTTATATAATAAGATGAACATGTTATAGAATAAGATGAAAATGTTACATATTTACAAAATAAGGTGAACATGTTGTAAAATAAGATGGATATGTTACATAATGAAAT